CTCCTTCTTCCACTCTTGTTCTAGGCAAAGAGAAACCAACTGTTGTGCCTTGGATGGCCACTTGGAAGCCTTTAAGACCCCAGGCACTACATATCAAACTAGGAGATAGAACAGAGCCACTATACATGTTATTAGGTCATGAAATCATAGCCCTAAACCTCCAAACCAGGAAACCAAATCCCATGAGGTTTTTGGTTGTACATAAGCAGCCTCAGCAGCTACTCTTTTTTTTTTTTTGTCATTGTTGTAAATGTATCTATTACATAATTTTTGCCAATTAAACTTTTTACAGGTGTAAAATTCATTGACAGCAATCACAATAATCAGCTGTTCAACTCTACCCTTAAACAATATAATATTTTCATTACTGTTAACACCCCTTTTCCCCTTTCCCACAAGGCCTGGTACCCAATAATAAAATTTGCTCTCTATACAACGGCCTTTTCTAGTCTTGTTATATAAGTGAGTTCTAACAATATTTATCCTCTTGTAATTGACTTATTTCATTCAGTATAATGTCTTCCAGCTCCATCCATATTGTAGCATGTATTGAGCTATCATTTCTCCTATGAAATTTGCTTTTGCACGCAAAGGAGCTAAAACAAACAGAAGAAATGATTAAGTAAAAGAGTAAACAGAAGACTTCAAAGGGTGGCTCAAAAAAACAAGGTAAATAATTATATTAAATGTGTATTACACCAAAATGTGCAAAGACCTGAAGTTAGAAAACTAAAAGAAAAGAAGATGTGTAGCATTTCTCAAGCTAGAAGAATTAAAGATTCAGGTCTTAAGTTGCAATATTGTAAGATTTTTTGGACAAAAGATTTAATGCTGCTAGAAGCATCAAAAGAAGATGGAAGGAATACAGAGTTACTGTACCAAAACGAATTGGTCGATGTTCAATTATTTCAGAAGACAGCATATGATCAAGAACCAAAGGTATTAAGGGAGAAGTCCAAGCTGCACTGAAGGCATTGACAAAACAAAAGTCTCCAGGAATTGACAGAATACCCACGGAGATGTTTCAACAAATGGGTGCAATGCTAGAAGTACTCACTCATCTATAGCAAGAAATTTGGAAGACAGCTACCTGACCAAGTGACTGAAGAGATCCATATATGTGCCTATTCCAAAAAATGGTGATCTAAGGAATGCAGAAATTATCACACATCATTAATATCACATGCAAGCAGAATTCTGCTGAAAATAATTAAAATTAAAAAACAGCTGCAGCTGTACATTAACAGTGAACTGCTAGAAATTCAAGCCACATTCAGAACATGATGTGGTGTCCGATGGATCTTGGCTGAAAGCAGAGAAAGATGTTTATCTGTGCTTTATTGGCTACGTAAAGGCATTTGATTGTGTGGATTGTAACAAATTTTGGACAACATTGGGAAGAATGGGAATTCTAGAACACTTAATTATGCTCATGCAGAATCTGTACATAGACTGAGAGGCAGTCTTTCAAAGAAAACAAAGGGCTACTGCGTGGTTTAACCCTTTTAAGATAGAATTATTTTCTGCTCTTTTTTGTTCAAACCATGTTTTCAGTAATAGAGGGTATTTTCAAAGAAATGAAAATTTTTTTCTTAAGAAATATGAGTTTTGATACAATTCGTGGGACACGTGTACCAAGGGATCTTTGTATAATATAGTTATACAGGCCTCCACCAGATGGCAGCATGCACTACAAAAGGGATATCCCCAATAAATCTCAGAGGTAGAAAATGTAGGTAGGCGGCACTCTATGGTCCCTGGGTCACAGAAAGGTTAAAATTGGAAAAGATATGTGGCAAGGTTGTAAATTTTCACCATACTTATTCAATCTGTATGCTGGGCAAATAATCAGACAAGCTGGACTGCATGAAGACAAATATGACATCATGATTGGAGGAAGACCTATTAACAACCTGCAATATGCAGATGACACAACCTTCTTTGCTGAAAGTAAAGAAGACTTAAAGCACTTATTGATGAAGATCAAAGACTACAACCTTCAGTATAGATTACACCTTACCACAAAGAAAACAAAATCCTCACAAATGGAGCAATGAGCAATGTCATAATAAAGGAGAAAAGATTGCAGTTGTCAAGGATTTCATTTTACTCCAATTATCACCCATGGAAACAGCAGTCAAGAAATTAAATGACATACTTCATTGGACAAATTTGCTGCAAAAGATCTCTTTAAAGTGTTAAAAAGCAAAGATGCCACTTTTAAGACTAAGGTTTGCCTAACCTAAGCCATGGTATTTTCTTTCTTTTCTTTTTTTTTTTTTAAATACAGAATAAAGTTTATTAGTGTTTACCAGAGGTGGGAAGAAGGGAGAAAGAGGGAGGTTAATAGTGATAGAAATGTCACATTGATTAAGAGTTGGGTTGCATAGCCAAATATTGTAATTGCTGTCAATAAATTGTGCACTTGTAAAAAGTTGAATTGGCAAAAAATGCAAGAAAACAACAGCTCTTATCCAGCCTCTAGCCCCATTTGATGGATGGAGTACCTGAGGTAAGAAGGAGGCTGTGAACTACTCAAGGCCATGTTATGAGAATCCTGGCAAAACTTCCTGCTATTTTCAACCGCCTCATATGCATGTGAAAGCTGGACAATGAATAAGAAGAATTAGGAAGAATTGATGTCTTTGAATTGTGGTGGTGGTGAAAAATACGAAAATACCATGGGCAGCCAGAAGGATGAACAAATCTATCTTGGAAGAAGTACAGTCAGAATGTTCCTTAGAAGCAAGAATGGCTACACTTCACCTCACCGACTTTGGTCATATTGTCAGAAGGGACCATTCCCTGGAGAAGAATATGTTTGGGAAGACCTTCAACAAGATGGATTGACACAGTGACTGCAACAATGGGCTCAAGCGTAGCAAGAATTGTAAGGATGGTACACAACCAGGCAGTGTTTCATTCTGTTGTACAAAGGGCCACTGAGAATCAGAAATGACTTGACAGCATCCAACAACATGCTGTTTAGATGCGTGGACGGTGAAACTCTGGCTCAGTTACTTTGAACGTGTCATCAGGAAAGACTAGCTGCTAGAAAAAGACATCAATTTTGGTAAAGTAGAGAGTCATCCAAAATAAGGAAAATCTTCAGTGGGATGGACTAACACAACAACTAACACAACAGCCACAACAACAACAACAGCAAGCCTCGTCATGAGAACAGCGCAGAGCTGGGCAATGTTTTGTTCTGTTATATGTAAGGCCATGATTTGATGGCAACTAACAACACAATAATTTGCATACTTGTATATCTATCTATCTGTCTTCAAGGACAGATGCCTAGAATAACACTGAATTAAAAGTTAACATGAATATTTTTCTGTATGGGAGGATTTAGGGTGATTAGGTTTTTTTATTATTATGATTTTCTGTAATATTTAAATTACATAAGATAAGGAGGTATCATTATAATAAAACAAACAAAGTCATTACTTTAAAGGAAAAATAGGAGAGTCAGTTTCAGCATCATGCATCGGGAATGGTAATGAACAGGGAAACTGGACACCTGAAGTTGAATATGACCCTGGGCAAGTTATTCAGTATGAAGCCTCTCTGAGCTACAGTTTCCTTATTGGTATGAGAATATGAGAGAGTAGAATTAAATAAGCTCAAAGTTTTCTGCAGCACTCATGTTTTATGATTTTAAATGGCTAATTTCTATGTAACTTCTTAGGAAATTTTCAAAGTAAGTTCATGTCTTCTCTGGCCAATCATCTCAACTATGTAAGTAATGAATAATGCATTTTTTTGCTATCAGCTTTTATTATTATTATTATTGTGCTTTAGGTGCAAATTTACAGAGCAGAATTTGTTTTACATTCAACATTTTGTGTACATTTGGTTTCACTCCCCAATTACCATCCCCAAACCTAACTCACTCTCCTCCTTTCCCTTCCTAGTAACCACCCCCCCCCCATCCCTATCACAGTTATGCACTCCTGTGTGTTTTGCTTTTCCTCCATGTGAATGTTGTCCCTGGTGCCTTGTGGCTGATTGCTCCAAGGGAGGTATCTCCATAGAGTATGTGGGTGCATCGCCCTGGGTAGAGTGGTCTGTGTGTATGTCTTATGTACTATTGGGCTGAGAGCCAGCCCTTGGGAGTGAGCTTTATTCCATGCCCAACGTATATCCCAGAGCCATAGAGCTTCAACACATTACAAACTACATATGCACTATAACCTTGACATTCTCAAAATACTGAATAGGCAGTCTTGTCTACATCAATAATTAAAGAGAGAGAGGAAGAAAAATAATGAAAGAAATATAGCACTGAGAATACAAGTACAGAAAATCTTTCTGGTTAACACTACACACTACTTTAAATGTGCAGAGAAACTGCTGGCAATTAAGGGAAGAAGGAAAAGACTTCATTTCCCAAAGTACATGTGCTAAAGAAACACACTAAAATATTGACACAAATTGTTCAATTCATTAGGAAAATTTTCTGATTTGTAGATGAGCTCACAAGAGAACATAGAACAACTATAAGCATTTACGGAAGTGGTTTCTTAGTTCTGGGTGGTTTCAAAATTAAGTCTGTATATGTGTACTTTTTTTAGCTTCTGAATCCTTTTCTATGAATTGGTTGATTCTTACATTATGTCAATCTGTTGAACTGAACAGCTGCAAGCAGGTATATTTTCAATTAATTAAAAACTAAATTTTACATAGCTCACAATGAAGCAGTATTTCTCCCCATAAATTTTAATTCAGTGTCTCTAAACTTAATCCCCAAATGAATACTCTTCAATTATACTTCAATGAATTTGTTCTACTTTTTGTGACAATCATATAATTAAGAATAGCATGTACCATGCTGAGATGCTAATGTGATTTTGCCAAAATAAGAGTTGATAACAACTTTATGTATAATTTCTCTGAAAATTAAATGTTACAGGTGCCATGCAACATTAAGATATTGTCACACTTATGAGTTTAAACAAATATTGGAAAGTTGCCATCATTTAAAAAGAACTTACCTTTGCGATTATTACTGACTGAACTGGGTAGCAAACTGTTGCTCCTAAAGTGGTTAGTCCCAGTGGATAAGCAATTTTCTTAAATCTAGAACCTACAAAAGTCAAGCAAATTATTAAACTTCAAACCCATGCAACCAGAGACTTGATGCTTTTATAACCTCAGTGTTCTCTTTGTTCTCCTTTAAGTCATTATCTTATGTTAAATTGTTATTTATGTAATAATACTGATTAAGACAATAGCTAAAACATCCTTGAGGATTTCTCAACTTAATTAATAACACTTTGTTGCCGTGTCCAATTTAAGAAAAGTGTTCCAATCTTACACAGATAATTACCTATACAAAAGCGTTTACCAATTTTCTTTTTTAAAGCTAAGTATATTTTCATATCCTAAGAAACTCAAAGTTGTAATCACATTTTTCCCAAATAGCTAATAAAGCATGAAAATATAGAGAATTGAGTAATATGTTTGTAACACCATATTAAAATAAAATGGAGTCTCTTTTATGTATCTTTTTAAAATTAAGTTAGTAAGGTGAAATATTCAACTAACTAATCAGCTCAAAACCAAACTCACTGCCATTGAGTCAATGCGGGTTGCAACTCACACTGGGTTTCCAACCCTGTAAATCTTTACGAAAGGAAGTTTCTTCATCTTCCTCCCACAGAGCAGTTATTGGGTTTGAATCACTGACCTTTTGATTAGCAGCCAAATTCCTTAACCACTACACCACCAGAGCACCTTTAACTAATCAGTTATACACTTTAAAACGTACATAACTCATTCATGTCACTGATTTAGAATAATGAACTAATAATTTCATAATTACTAACTTGAGATAATTGATGCATTTCCCAAAGTGCCTTAACTAAGCATCTAAGAGTTATTTTCAAGCTGCTTTTTTTTTTCCTGTGGACAGTGAAACACTTTTCAAAAAAATCTACCAAACAGAACTTCACTACAAACTTCAATACATAAAACCTATACACGTGAAGCTGCTCTGGTTAAACTGGGGGGAGAAGCAGCTCAGAATTGAGCCAAGCCTGGATGGCTTTTCCCTTATACCTGTATCATCTCTAAGTACTTCCATGGAAACCTAACTTCTATAGAACAGTTTGAAACCCAGAGATCTAAGCTATAGATTACTTCAAACAGACTGCTGGTTTGAAACATGTATATTAATTATGGAAATAAATGCTTCTCTGGGTACCTTGGTCTCTTTAAATATGATCTGAGCAACTGGGTGAAGGGTTTCTTTAAATGAGGTAAGTACTTTTATTCTGTGGAATGGCTTTTACAAACCTCAGTTTAAAAGGAAACTACCTGTCTGGTATATCAATAAAGACTAAAGTGAAAAATAGCTGGCAATGTTTGCAGGCAACTTTGCGGTTTAGGGAAGGTAAAGACAAGAGACAATTTCTGTCAGATTTAACTACTATAGTCATGTCTACAGTAGACTGAATAGGTGGGCTGCTCAAACCTCTAGTTTAGCTTTCTTTAGACTGGTTTTTGTGTTACTGTGAAAGAGGGTCTAGGCATATAAAAACATGTTGTGGGTTGCCCCTTTACTCTAGTTCTACTTATTATTATTCCTGCTAAAACTGTAGTTTTGTCCTTGATTTTACTGTCCTAACATCTCTTGCTGTAGGTTCCCATGATTAAGCCAAATTCCCCTAACTGTTCTGCTTCTAAACTTGAAAAACAAAACAAAACAAAAAAACCCAAACACTGCCATGGAATTGATTCTGACTCATAGTGACCCCCTTTGGGTTTCCGAGGTGGTAAATCTTTACAGAAGTAGATTGCACAGTCATCCTTCCACAGAGTGGCTGGTGGGTTTGAACCACCAACCTTCTGGTTAGCCGTCAAATGCCTAAGGTACTATGCCATCAGAGCTCCTTTTCTTAACTTGAAAGGTCACAGTTATTCCTTCATGTATCATTAAAAAGGTTAAAAAGACTTACATTCATCCTCTCTTTATTTGACAGGAGAGGCCAATCTACAAAAACTAAATTTCATTCGGGTTCAACAGCCCTATTCCCACAATTTGGGAAGGACTTTAGACACAGCCACTACCTATGTGCTATTCACTGAATGATTTCAATTCTTTGGACTTCTACCAGAAACATAAGAGGGTAAAAATAAATCAGTAAGTTTTAAACTTGTTTTTGATGCCAATTCATCTTAAGGAACAAATTTTACATTCTGACCTATGATCTATCATACACATTAAGTTTTAAAATATTTAGCCTTTCTAAACACTGTGTTCAGCCAGGGGGCAGTTTAAGCATAGGCACTGAAACAAGGCGGGCTTGTGCTTACTCACTGATCTGCACTGAACACGTTCCCTTGTTACCCTA